AGTAAAATTAGTATATTCTCTAATAGCTTTAGTTTTTAGAAGAGGTGATTCAATTGATATTAATGCATGCACGTGGTCTGCACTTTTCTGAGGTCAAATCATATTGCTATCCATTTATGAAAATGCCACCTGTAAGAGCATTGTAGAAATATACATGAGGATGCATAACAGTAGGCGCAGTGATGACAAAGTCTTGCTGACAAAATTTAAGTAAATAAGTGTATCTGAAACTTTTGGACGAGTTAGTTTAATAATAACATGATGAAGTTTTGCCATTTCGCACTTATTATAATTGTGTACGGTTTCGATGGAAAATGAATATGGTTTGCATGTGAGATGGCGTGTTCAGTGGACAGGTTGAGGCATGCACGGTCAAGGATAGTGGCGTACGTGCCATTGCCAGTTTACAATGTACTTTACAAGATCCTCTGTTGTGTTGTCAGCATGCAATTACAGGTATCTCATTTGCCATACCAAATAACTCAATGTTTCTTTGGAAATGAATTTAACTTTCTAGCGAGGTTTTATGCGAAAAATAAAGTATATATAGAAATTATTTAAGCTATGTTAAGTAATATACATCTTTATTATTCTCATCATCGTTTTTTTCCCATCACTATTATGCAGGCTGTTCCCAACACAGATGAAGCGATTGCACACATTACTTTGGTACCGGAGGTAAATGAAACACGTTGACTGATGCAATTCGTTCTGCCAATTATGTATTGTAGACTTCTCATTGTCATATATTTGGAGACCTTCATAAATTTTACTTATGTTCTCAATTATCTCTATGCACTTACTCGAATTAATTTTATTACTTTTTCGTCACTCTTCTGGTATGCCTTTGCGTTTTCTGAAAACTGAGTTGTATGATTCCTCTGTCAATGCTTTGCTTGCATCTATCAATTGACAAGCTTGCTTATCCAATTGCTACATGACTTATTTTCCTATTGGCTTGTAATTTGCCAACCTATACACGTGAATTTGCATCTCTAATACGATTTTTTGGGTTTTCGCAGAAAGATGTAGAAGGATCACTGCACAATGCCCCTCCATATCTAACTTGGGAAAGTTGTATGCGCTCCTTCAGTAAGAAGCTAACTCCATCTGATACTAGCGCACGTGGTGAACTCTCCGTACCAAGAAAATGTGCTAACGAATTTTGATCATTTTCTCCATAAAACCACCTGGCAATAATGTTTTCTTGAATTGTATTGCCTTCATCTCGTTTTTTTTTTTCGAACTGTTGACTATTTGATCTTTTGATTCTCTTTACTATTTCAATACATCTCGTTGATGAATGTGAAGACACAGATCATTTTTTGCATAATTACTCAGAAATATTTCTTCTTGCATGACATGTTTCAGCATCTCCCTTCACCGGACCTGGTTGCCAAGGATTTGCACAGGACAGAATCAGTGGCGGACCCAGTACGAAAGTTCAGCCTGGTGGACATTGACCATTAACCGTCGACAATTAGCGAACGAGGTCGCTTATTAAGGCGGTGGGACGGCCATTAAAGGCAGTGGCAGCTTGGATCAGGCCGACATGATGGGGCTTGGGGCAAACCACCGCCTCTTTCTTGCCCTTCATCTCTTCACAGGCAGAAAAAGTTTTCTTCTGAATTGTACAGTGATTCGTTTTCTTTTACTTCAAGATCTTTTGATATATATATATACACATATATATCACACCTGTAAATTTATCAAAAGATGGAATTTTTTAAACAGCAAAGAAATTGGATATGGGAATAACGTAAATATCACATATAAATTAAACACACAATACTAAGAAAAAAATTGTCCTTTCACTTTTGTTTTTAAGCTAAAATCCAGCCAACTTGGCACAAGATAAAAACCCAGAAACTTAGCCTGCAGAGATTTTGGACTTGTTCTTATAGACAAAGATAAAAAAATTGATAATCCATATAATATTAAATTAATTTAGAAGAACCCTATACAGAACTGTTGTAAAAATCGAAACTTTTATTTTCTTTTAAATTACATAATTATTCTCCTTGTGCTTGAAGTGTAACAGATCAAACAAAATCTGGTGACCATAGATTTTATATGTAGTGCAAGTGAATCTTTTCTTGGAAATTAAGAGAATGATTGGCAATTTTCAGCTACCTTTATGAATTGAAAATTGATCTGACATTTAAACGGATCTGTACATAAATTTTAAATTTTCATATGAAACTTCGGTTCTTTAAAGGGGAAAATTAGCTTGAACAGATCACTTGCAAAAAAAAACTCAAAATTGTTAATTCTTGTTCACCAAGAACTCATCTTTCTTCCAAAAGAAAACATTCAGAATCAAGATTTTTCAACAACAGAGCCGCAAAAAAAAAAAAAGAAAAGAATTGAAGCAAAGCTTCAGCTGGGTTTTCACAAAACTTGAAAAAAAAAAAAATCAGAAACAAGAACTAGACCACCTACTTTTCCACTACAAGAAGGTAGAGAAAGAGAGTTCGATTAGGCTATACAAAATTGTATGTGGCTCCTCTGACAGAAAGGATTTCAAATCAAAATAGAAGAAAAAGGATTTCCAAGCTGCCACTGCCTTCTCTGTTCTCCCTACAACAGGACTGCAACAGTGACCTGGCGACGCAGATGGTATTGAAGACTCCAGCTGATCTAGCATGGGCGGCCGTGCCCCCTCATTGGGTACGGGGTCTGCCCCTGGACAGAATGGCAATTCCACCACATATATTGTCGTATTAGAACGGGGATCCCTTTATGGAATTTAATTGACAGTTGCAACATTTATAAATTTATAATGGGCGGCCAACCTTACTTGATAGTGGACCATTCTTGAGTGACACGAGAATTTCGTGACATCTTTTTTAGTTTCTTTACTTTGAGTGCATGTTTAGTGCACAATACTGGAAAGGAGTGTAGAGTATAATAAACAAAATTTATTTTTCTTTTCTTCCTTAACACTGCTTAGTACTATCTAAATATCATTACTAAACATGCTACGAGTGGCTGATGTTTAGTTTATCTTCTTTTCCACCCTTTCTAAATACAGGTAAGCCAAAGCGTCCTTGCTCGGCAGTGGTTGGAGCAGTTTCGTAAATTCAAAGAAGCTTGCTGCAGGAGTATATTCTTCAAGTTTTCTCGACCTTCTGGACCTTCCACTCTCTCTACCTTCTAGGCTTAAGTAGTCATTTTTTATTTCACAGTGGTAAAACTAGCAAACTCTTTGTTGGGGTTCGCCGTGCAAAGCTAGAAAGCAATACTTCAGCATCTCTGTTATCGAGTCAAAGCATCCAACATGGAGTCCTGGCTGGCTCTTTCCATGCGACCTCTACAGAAAGCTTGTTTAATGTGCATTATTATCTTGGTAAGCCATTATTCTTGAAAATAAGTTGGGTTTCTTTTCCTGTTTATATATGCAGGAAAAGTCCAGCTGAACTCATTATCCCTTACGATCAACACATTAAGGCTGCTGAAATTGATTATAGTTTTGGGATGAGATTTAAAATGCAATTGGAAAGAACATAGGGAATCTGAGTTGAAAAGAGTGCAAAGTAAGTGCGCGTAAAATATAAAATACAAGTTAAATTTTTGTCAGTTCCTAATTCGCACAAAATTCACCGTACTCTTACGAAAAGTATTAGAATTGAGAAAATTGAAGGTGTTTAACATATTGGTCATCTTATACCATATTTAGGAGTACTATCATTGGCATCGAAGATATTGACCATATCAGATGGCCCGGGTCCAAGCAGATTTATCAAGGTTAATATACTCGTAAACATTTTTAAGAAAAAATTTCCAAGCTAGACATGAATACATTTAGATATCATATGTACACCTATTAATTTACAAATTCTTTAACAGGTGAAATGGGTTTCTGCAGAAGACGCTGCTATTTGTCCCGACAGGGTTTCTCCTTGGAGCATTGAAGTTGTTGAAATATACAAGAGTATGCAAAAATCTGTTCCACCAGATGCAAAGAAGGCTTGACCTTTCAATCCATTGTTTCCCTTCTCTGTGAAGGATGGTAAGCCTGATAATGGTTTTATTTCAAGGATCTCTCTCTCTCTCTCTGTCTTTTTTTCCCCTGTTTAGGGTTGTTTGTTTGGCTGTGCTTAATTAAAAAAATAAATTAAATTTACTTTTTTTTTTTACACCAAGTAAAACTAAGACAAAACTTATTTTTTGGACCGCTAAAAGTTGTAAATTCTGTAGTGGAAATATGCTACCAGAGCGTAAGCTAGTGATACTTACGGTTACTAGAGTTTTGCCATATAGGGTGCAGACGTGCAGCAAGCGTGCTGCTTCGCCTGGAAAAAGAAGTTACTTTTAAAGAACTTCAAACATGTTTGGCAAACAATTTACTTAAAAGTAACTTTTAATTAGCCTAACATACTGGCACTTGTTCTACTCTCACTTATTATTACGCCTCAACTATCAAATTCATCCTTCATCTCCTTGAAAGGTTTAACAAAGAACTCAATCAAGCACATACATCATGGACGATCAGGGGTCTTGCAAGGTCAAGAATTCGTAACTGTTGATGCCTACAATCAGCGAACATAGCACGGCTTTCGGTTCACATTTGAGCCCGAAATTATTTTTAGGTTGTGGAGAGAAGCACATTGTGTTGGATAATCAACATCAACTTCAGATTCATAATCATCTTGAAAGCACCATGTCCATCCCTGTTGGTGTTTCTACGGCTTTGGGCATTGCTATTTCCAGTGCTCCTCCAACATTTACTCCACGTGCAACCGACTATGGTAATGGAACGGAAAAAGGTCTTTGCATCCTTAAAGTCAATCACATTACTTTTAAATCTCAAAAGAAGTGAATCAGTGAAGCTCCATGAGAAGTACAACCCATTGACAGTGACACATGCATGCTTTTCAGGGTTAAAATACTCAGAAACCACCCTAAGGTCCTTTCACCCAAATTTGTGGTTGGTGAACTGAAAGGTTTTGATGTTGTCCCACCACCTGCACCTCAAGCAGGAATCTTAGAAACAATTCATGTTTGGGTGCGATCTAATGGCAATCTTCAAGAACTATGCAGCTGTCTCCACATTAACCGGAGTTGCACGAAGGTACTTTAATTAGGGATTAAATGTTGCAGCATGAAGAACTTTCAAAGAGCTTTTTTGGCAAAGTCTAAAAAAAGTAAAAAAAAAAGTTTTGGATCTAAATTATTTTTACTTATTTGTTTTTCGGCAAACATGTTTGGCTAATCTTTATAGTAACTATTTAGTACTACCCTTTTAGGCTTAGCTGGGATTAGCTTCCTTTCAGTCACTTGGCTAGATTGAGTCAATTAGGAGATTCGTCTTTAACTATTTTCTTCCAAGTAATGAAATATGGAACTGCTCTTGGAAGATCCATCGAACTCTCATGTTTCAATTGTTATGGAGAACTTGTGTCTGAGCTTGACAAGATATTCGAATTTAATGATGCCCTCATTGATGGGAGCTCTAGCTGGCGCCCAAGCTACACTGATGGTGGAAGAGACAAAATGTTTGGAGACTGTTCCTGGAAGTGAGTACCAAATTCACTAATAGGCCTAAATATTAGTGCATTATTCTATTCATAAATACAGGCTACCGTGGATCTGATTTGCTTAATACTTGAAATACAGGGAATTCCGGGCCATAGTCAAGAAGATGTTTATCTGTCCTAAAGATGTTGCTCATTCTGCACATTCAATGGCACCGGTTTGAGTCTGTATCACTGCCTAGATATGAACAGTCTTTGTATGTCCCGAGGGCACCGGAAAAAATGGGTGAATAAGGACATCCTTGTTTGTTGTAAAAAGACGATGTCTGGATGTTAGTTTGTAAACAATGACTTATGTTCTTATGTAAGCAGTCCCTTTTCCTCCCCCTCTCTGCACGCTCAAGTTTGTGGAGGCATCTTGTATGATTAGTTTTGCTGAGATAATGTACTGTTTGGTTGAATGAAGTCGACAAGATTGATGAACATATCCATCTAGCAGTGCCCCCAAATGAAGAACCGAGCAACATTTCTTTGATTCCAAGTCGCATTGGTGAACTTGGAATTTAGTGTTTAAAGGCAGAGAAATGATATTATGCACATGAATTCGAAACAAGCATCAGGGATAAGAATAAGCCAATAAGGTACAAAATCATTCTAACCCTCTCGTGTAGAATGCTAATCCAATAACCCCTCTATTTTAAGTAAGCCAATGGGTGAATTTAATATGAACTCATTGTCGGGAACTGGAGGAACTGGTTCCTGCAAGTGGTATTAGAGTCGTGTCTCAAACATAACTACATAAATGCACACAATGAATTTTCAGACGTGTGTTGAAGTTCTAAATAAAAGTCGTAATTTTTTGAAAACATGGAATTGTTATTTGATAATGCTTTCAAACAATAGCATGTAAACTGTAGTTTCTAAAAACACGGTGCGAATAGAAATTACACTCTCATGTCCCTTTACCTTCTTGTCTCTAATCTGGTACTTGATTCCTATGGAGATCCTATGGAGATCTTAATTCCTAAATTTGCTTCAGAAATATCATTCGGATGCCCTCTGTCATGAATTTTGCAATGGCCTTTAAATGAATGATTCAGCTTAAAATTTTAAGTGTTCCTTGTGAGAAAATTCATTTTTTGTTGGTGTAACTGCAGGAATCAGAATGGCTAAGAGCGACTCTGTACAAATGGTTAGACAATGAGTATTGCCCAAAGTAAACTACCGTACAGATAAGTAAAGTTCCTGCCACCTCGTTCTACAAATCACTGGTCGAAAAAACAAACTGATCTGGGAGAGATTTTGTTAAAAAAGGTAGTAGAATTGGAATCCATATCCTATCAAGAGAGCTTCCATTGAGCATTTTCCTCAGCAAATGCAGCAGTGAATCTTATTATTCAGCGGATAGCGATGGAATAGTTGCTCGATTTTGCAAAGGTTTGAAACCCTCAACCTGCAAATACAGTTTAAGCTTTCTTCACATTATCATGCTTGGAAATCTTGTCAGCCTAGTGATATTTGTAGAGATAATGTTAAATGCATCATTTAAAAGCTTAAACTATTACAAATTTACTAATATTTGTTTCCAACACGCTCAAATCTAGTTTCCTTATCAAAAGTCCGGTGAGGAGAGTCTTTGTATATGGTTGCATTGAAACTTAAATCCACTAAATTTTATTTATTATGATACCTTTATTGAATTATCTCATTTAAAGTATTAAAATTTAGTAAGAAGTAATCCAACCACTAGATGTTTAAAGCTTGATTTGTGCCATAGGATTACCGTAAGTCACGTGGACAATTCCGTCAAAGAGATGAAACGAAATCCATCCCATTGACGTATAACACGTCTCAATGTTCAGTATTCAATTAGTTATGTTTCAGAGTTCAGTTATTAAATATTAGCGTGGACTGTAGTTTAGTGAACATTAAAATAGTTAACCTGTTATCTTCCTTATAAGTTTATGCTTTTTCATCTTGTTGGATTTTGATACCCAATGAAACTTAGGATTACTTGGTTCTATTTCTCGACGGGCGCAGCTCGTGCGGGGACTTCTTTCTAAGGCGGAACGCTCCCCTACCGATGCAATTGAAAAGGTCTTATCAATAAAATTTCTCGGGCTATGATGTAAACGTTGGATTGAATTTCATATTCATTGGCCAATGAATTAAATTGTTACCAACAACCAAATCCAAACGCTCGACTCGAAAATGACGTGGACCATTGGAAGTAGTTTAAAGAATTAATGTTACTCACGGCCTATATATATTACTTTTTGAATGGCTTTGGATCTTGGCTCATTTAACCATTTTATTGGTCGAACTAAAGTCTGACATATCATATATATATGGTTGTCTTTACCCTAGCCATGTGTGTGTGATTTGTATATGAAAAGGAAAGCTTATTTGATGAAGAGGATATGGAGAGTATGTGTTTTTTCAATGTTCAACCTTGAAAAAATCGTTCAGATGCGTTCTGGTATTTATACTATAGGTTAAGGAATGAATGAGCACGATAAAAAGCCTTAAAAACATGAATTAAAATTCTTCAAATAACCTTGTCTCTCGAGCGAAAGTTGGGCGACAGGCGAGCGAAGGTGTCTCGCTCGAGCGAAGCCCTGGCTAGCGACAATATTTTTGTTTCTGCCGCTCGAGCCAAGTCATGGCGACAATTTAACAAAATTGCGGCGCTGTTTTTCCTTCTTTTCCATTCTCGAACCATAGACCTAATAAAACTCAATTTCTAACAATTGCAACTTACTCCTTGACTTTTACAACATGTTAAATACAGACCATTTTGTTTACAAAATATGATGTAAACGTTAGATTGAATTTCATGTTCATTGGCCAATGAATTAAATTGTTACCAACAACCAAGTCCAAAGGCTCGACTCCAAAATGACGTGGGCCATTGGAAGTAGTTTAAAGAATTAATGTTACTCACGGCCTATATATATTAGTTTTTGAATGGCTTTGGATCTTGGCTCATTTAACCATTTTATTGGTCGAACTAAAGTCTAACATATCATATATATATGGTTGTCTTTACCCTAGCCATGTGTGTGTGATTTGTATATGAAAAGGAAAGCTTATTTGATGAAGAGGATATGGAGAGTATGTGTTTTCTCAATGTTCAACCTTGAAAAAATCGTTCAGATGCGTTCTGGTATTTATACTATAGGTTAAGGAATGAATGAGCGGGATAAAAAGTCTTAAAAACATGAATTAAAATTCTTCGAATAACCTTGTCTCTCGAGCGAAAGTTGGGCGATAGGCGAGCGAAGATGTCTCGCTCGAGCGAAGCCCCGGAGGCAGGCTAGCGACAATATTTTTGTTTCTGCCGCTCGAACCAAGTCATGGCGACAATTTAACAAAATTGCAGCGCTGTTTTTCCTTCTTTTCCATTCTCGAACCATAGACCTAATACAACTCAATTTCTAACAATTGCAACTTACTCCTTGACTTTTACAACATATCAAATACAGACCATTTTGTTTACAAACTTGCCAATTACATCAAAAACCTAACAATTTGATTTTGAAAAATGGAAATGGTGGGTTGATGTTTTGACTCATGAACTGCTGAATTTTATACGCAATAATAGAGAAATGAAAGAGGAAAATCAACCGAGGGATTTCACGTGGTTCGGCAATGTGCCTACGTTCACAAGAAGCGAAGAGAAGATATTTTATTCAGTATGCATAATAGAGTTATATCATCAGTATATATCCCCTTCGTCAAGTTTGGTGTGTTCCACTACGCTCCAGCATCGACCTTTTCTTCTGGTAAACCTTTTTTTAACTCTATATGAGTCACATACACGAAAGAACAATGAAAATAGCTTAATGCAAGTGACTTATACTACAATGGTTTCAATAAATAGATAGGAGAGAAGTGGTTGTTGGGTTAGGGGTGTTTGAGGAAGATGACGTCATATTTTTGCTCCTCTTTCTAATTTTTTTCTCGTCATTTTGCTCACATCGCAACATTTAAGGCCTAGTCTCACATTGGATTTTCTCTACGTGGACAATTTCATCAAAAGGATGAAACAGGATCCATCCCGATGATAAATAGGAAACTCACATGAATGTCCATTGACTGATGAGAGATGTTTTAAAGTTCATTTATTAAGTAGTAGCGTAAAATTTGCCCCTTTTTGGTTTAGCTAAAAACAGATTTTTAGTAGATTTCGATAAAATTTAATGAAATTTGTGGTTGAAATGTTGATAAAAGCCATGAGCCCCATAAATATATTATTGAAAATGAGTTTGAGAAAATTAGAACCAAACTTGAGCTTTATTTCAGTGGTCAATAATATAATTTACCTGATCTAAAGTAGATAAAAAGGTACCATACTAGGTGATTTTAGCATGTGTTTGCAGTTTGTTCAATTAAAATATATTAGAGAATAGCCAGTTCTCATGAAATTAGGCCATTTCTAAATTTGAAGCTCAGTAGACAATTTATTCAAATTTAAATGATTTATTATTCATTTTTGGCTCTATTTATTCAAACTTACTTTAAATTCTCCCTCTTTCATTTTTCTTTTCTTTTAAAACCACATCTTTCTCTATAAACCAGTTTGTCGAAATGAACTTCATGAAATGGTATCTCTCTTTTTCATAAATGTTTAAAATTTGTAGCTAAAAAGAAGTTTTACATAACAAAAACAAGAGGAATCGACTTAAATAAAAAAATTCCTTTTATACGAAAATGAATAATACACACAATGTATTCTATTTCGGATATTAACATTGTATAGTTTTCAATAAGAAATAATATATAATACGGACGATTTTCACTTATTTTACTATCACAATACAAATGTTTTTAAGAACATGCCTTTTGGTGACTAATCAATTGTCAGTTTTTCATTGTGCAACTACTACAACTATGATAGTGTGGACAAAATATCACAACTTCAGAGTGAAGATTACATGAAAAAAGATTAAACTAGCTAACAAGTCTGGTTGTACTTATTTTCAAATCATTTAATTTGAGATAATAATTTTCGAAGTTATATATTTTTCTTTTCCAATATTTAAAATTAAATTTCTTAAAAGGAACTTTTGTAGAACTACCAAAATGCTGATAACATCTCCTTACTGAGAGAGATGCGCAGCATGAGCAACCTGACTGTTCCTTACTTGCGCTCAACTTACATGTAATTTACATGCTCCAATTCATATTTTATCCCAACGAAATACGAATGAATCCATTTTTC